GCCTTCTGGGTGCTGGGATTACAGGCGTGCACCCAGCTGCCTAAAATTTTTTATTCAGTCATTAATCTTTTAGAATTTTCGTTTGGGTCTGATGATTCACTCCCCCTACCCTGAAACATTGTAATTCAACCTATTTGTCTAGAGAACTTCCTATGTTTAAGGCAGTGCAAGAGGGCAAAGAAATATGGCTGTGGCAACCTGTAATTGTAGCCCAACACACAGTAGTAAAGGGAAACCTTAGCACGAGGCAGGGAAAATTTGCTGTGATGTTTCAAGAAGTTCTAGCTGTGGTTTCTGTGCTGTTTAAAAATTTTAAAATAGTGGTTCTACTGAAATACAGTGCCTCGCACATACCATGAAATTCATCCCTTTACACAACGTTGAGTAAATTCACAGATGTATGCACCCCTCATCACAATTGATTCCATCTCTCCAAGAAAAAGCCTTTATCCACTGAGTCAGTCTCCTTTTCCTCCTCTGACAGTTACCTACTGACTTCTGTTTCTGGGGAAAGGCAGTTGCCTTTCCCAGCCATTTCACATAGATAGGATCAATTTACGAATGATCTTTTGCATCTGGCTAGAATAATTTTTCAAGGTTCACCCATGTTGTAGAATATGTCAGTACTTTATTTTTATGACCAAATAATATTCCATTACAGATAAGCCACATTTCATTTACTCATTCAACTGAGAGACATTTCAGTTGCTTTGCTTTGGGCTATTGTACATAGGCTGCTGTGAACACTAACATACAAGCTTTTGCTGGCATGTACTTTTAATGCGTATATGTATACCTGGAGAAGAACTGCTGGGTTATGTGGTGATTCTTTATGTAACCTTTTGGAGAATCCCCAGACAGTCTTCAAAAGTTTTTGCTCACAGCAGTGTATACCCACCAAGATTTCTGCACCTCCTCCTCAACACTCGCTGCCTGAGCTTTGTTAGTGATCCTAATGAGTGCAGATTCTTGTTGTGTCTCTCTGATGGCGAAGGATACTGAGCATCTTTTCATGTGCTTATTGGCACTTGTATATCTTCTGTAGAGAAAATGGTTCATGTTCTTCTTCCATTTTTTAACAGAGTTGTTTTGTTTTTCTTAAGAACTCTATATTCCTGATATTCTCTACCAGACATATACTTTGAAAATATTTTATCCCACTATCTCCTCTTTTTCCTCTTCTCTGTTTTGTTTTGTTTTTTGCGTGGCTGGGGATTAAACCATGCTAAATTAGTACTACACCCCTAAGATATATTCCAGCCCCCGTACTAGGATTGAACCCAGGACTCCACGTGGTGCTACATCTCAACCCTCTTTTCACTTCTTGAGACCGTCTTATTAAGGCTGCACTCAAACACAGTTCTCCTGCTGCAGCCCCCCATGCCTGGATTTCAGGCATGTGCTTAGCACGCCTAGCTCTTCTCCCATTCTGTGAGTTTCATCCCTTTCTTGATGATGTTTGTTTCGTTTGGTTTCGTTTGGTTTTTGAGATAGGGTTTCACTTTGTAATGTAGGCTGCCTAAACTCACTATGTAGACCAGGCTGACCTTGAACTTGCAATGATCCTCCAGCCTCAGCCTCCCCAGTGCTGGGGATCATAGGGATGCACCACCACATCAGCTCTTAAAGGTAGCTTTTGAAACATGCAAGTTTTTAGTTGGGATGATATCCAATTTATCTGTATTTTCTTTTGTCACTTAGGCTTTTGGTATCACATCTTTAAAACATGGTTGTAACACATTCTGTTTGTAGAGAAGCTGTAATTTTATTAAATAAATTTTATGCCTTTCACACTTGATGGCACCCTTCCTTTGTCCCACACCTGCCCCATGTGACGCCCATGCTAAGGTTCTGACTCCTGCCTGTTCTCACCGCATCCTCTGCAGTGCAGTGCCTGTGCCTTCTGCACTGTTACTTCACGCCACTGTCTCATTAATCCAGAACAAGACCTCCCCGCCGGTACTCCCCGGGCTCTTCCTAATGCAGGGTTCTGGGGACACAGCCTGTCACATGGGCCAGGATGTCTGCAGGTCACTCCATGGGACTGTCATCTTTTCCCACCACAGGTGCCAAACTTAATCTGCTGCATTAATGTCTTGGGGCAGACCAATATATTACACAAATCTGTATGTATTTTACAGTCCCCCAGGAAAAGAGGGTCTTCAGAATCACTGCCTCCACTCCTTGTCATCCTAACATAGAATCTACTCACGCCAAGAAGCTTTACCTCGGCTGCGGCAATGTTCTTTGTCATTCGCTTTATGTCCTTGTCTGCTTTCTTCCCAACAACATCTGTCCTGTGGAACGTGAACTCACTTCCTTCTGACTTGGTAACGTCCAAAACCTTTGAAAGTGATTCCTAACACAAAGATTGCCCTAGAGTCAGGGCAAACTCAGGTTCCTCTTCCCAATCCACAGTCTTTAAAGATCAGAAATGTATCTCCAGTTGAGGGTGGTGGCCCACAGCTGTAATCCAGCACTGTGGGAGGCTGAGGCAGGAGAATCACAAGTTCAAGTCCAGCATGGGCAACTTAGCAACTTAATGAGAACTTGTCTCAAAACTAAAAATTGAAAAAAAAAAAAAAAAAAAGACTGCCAATGTAGCTTAAAGGCCCTGGAAAAAAAAAAAAAAAAAAGTGGCACGGCGGGCGGTGAAGGGTAGCAAGGAGAAAAACAAAAGAGAAATGGATCTCCAAATGTAATGGCATTGGCAATTGTGAATTCATTTAAATCATCATGAATCTGTATTTGTCCTTTGCTGGTACCACCAACCACTTTGCCTGCCAAGCTGTAAAGTAGGTGCCCCTTCTCCTGAGTCTTTTATGATCTTCTATGGGTTTTCTCATCAAAACCTTTTCACCTTTTCATATGACAGAGCCCAGTTTGTTAGTATTGCTGTTCAGATATTGTCCACGTCTTTCTTAGGTGCCATGCGTGTCTCTTATACGAAGGGAGTCACCACGCCCTCGTGAGACTCCACATTCTCCATCATTTCCCACCACCTTCCCACTGATGCATACTCTCTTCTCAGCCCTCCAGACTGCAGGGCACCCAGCGCTCAGGGGACAGTAGTCAGTGATTCCCACATGTTTCTCACTCTATAATGGGAATAAAGGTTATGATTCATTCCACACTCTTCAGAAGTCAGTCTCCAGATCTCTAGCACTGTAAGTCATACACAAGCCTCTTATTTTTATGTAATTATAGACTTTCAAAAGTTGCAAAGAAATGTAGAGACGTTCCACGCACAAGTGGAACAACTTAGAGTTACTGCACAGTGTACATACCACACGGTATCATACAGAGTTCACCATGCTTACCTATACTTACAGATACATGTAGTGTGTATACTGCTCAATGCAGTTTTGCCACGTGTTGTTCTGTGTAACCATTAACATAGTTAAGACATTTAATCATATCATTACCCCCAAGACTCACTTATGTTACTTTGGGGGTGGGGGCTGTTGAGACAGAATCTCCCTTTGTCACCCAGGTTGGCCTTGAACTCATGGCAATTCTCCTGCTTCAGCCTCCTGAGTGTTGGGATTACAGGTGCTTGCCACCTGGCCTAGCCATCCCTCAACCTTGAATCACTGGCAACCACTCATTTTTTTCTTAGCTCTATAATTACTATACATTATTTCACTATTGTTACATAAATAGAACCATGCAGTATTTTTCTCTTTGAGATTAACTTTCATCACTCCATCTAATTTCTTTGAGGTTCATCCAAGCTGTTGCTTTGATCAATAGTTCGCTCCATTCTATTGCTGAGTGGTATCTCATGGTATGGAAATGCCACATTGTTGTCTTTTTTTTTTTATTTGTTTTTTATGGTGTTTGAACTCAGGGCCTTACACTAAGTTACATCCCAACCCTCTTATTTTGAGACAGGGTCTTGCTGAACCACTAAGCTGCCCAAGTGGTGCTTGAACCTCCCACTACACCCTCCTAGAATGCTGGGGTAACAGGTGTGAGTCACCATGCCCAGCTCGTGCCACATGTTTATGATCTTTGGGTCATTTCCAATTTGGAATTCTTAAGAATAAGGTATCCATGGGAATACAAATTCCTGAGTGAAAATAAGTCTTCATTTCTTTGTGATAAATACCCAAGTGAACTGCTGATTAGGGAAGATCCATTTTTAGTTTCTCTGTGTGTGTGTGTGTGTGTGTGTGTGTGTGTGTGTTAAGACAGGGTTTTTCTATGTAGTTAAGGCTGCTCTTGAACTTGCAATGACCCTCTGGCCTCAAGCCTCCTTAGTATAATTATAGGCATATGCCACGATGCCCAATCACTTTTACTGTATTGTTGCTGGTTTTTGTGGTACTGGGAGTAAAACTCAGGACCTCACACTTGCAAGAGGAGTCATTGTGCTGCTGAGCTATATCGCTGGCACACTTTTACTTTTAAAACACAAAACCAAGCCATTTGTCAGAATCAAATTTTTTATTTTTGGAATTTCATTGATTCAACCCTAGACAGATATTCTATTTATCTTTTTATTACTAAAGAACTATCCCTCTAAAGTCCCATGGAATCAGATGAACCCAGATTCAAATCCCACTCAAGCAACTTTTCTGCTTTTTATTGAGTCTCTGCTTCCCTACTTATAAAAGCAATAATAATGCTCACAATAGTAAGGAAGTAAGATCAATATGCAAATGCTAGCGTAGCGTGGCCACTACAGAGTCACAAGTTTATGCTATCTCCCTATTCCATGGCAAGATAATAATCAAACATTATTTCCCATTAACTGAGTTATCTTTAGAAGATTATACATAATGATGCCTTGATAAAACTAGTTTCCAGGGCTGTGGATAGCTTAGTAGTACTTGCCTAGTATGTGCAAGGCCCCAGGTACAAATCCCAGCACTGAAAAAAAGTACAATTAGTTTCTCTTTCTTCCTACGAAGTATACTTGCTAAAGTAATCATTCTTCCTGGAAGCAGAAATGAGGTGATGTCTCTCTGTTATATGCTGGTTGTTTTCTCTCCTAGGTCAGTGAACAATTTCCTGATGACCGGTCCAAAGGTAAGACAAAGTTATTTGATTAATACGGATTTCAATAAGCTTGATGACTAAAATATATGCCAATTTCTTTTCATTATATCTACATCTTTTATTACATTGTGCTACATATTACAGACAGAAAAACTGAAGCACAAGGAGAGTTAGGATATACCCAAAGCCACTCAGCAAATTAACGTCAGAGCCCTAAAAAGTACTCAGGAGCGACAATTCTGAACTTCTGGTTGGAACTTCCAGAAATGTCAGCAGGCTTGTGTGGGTATCAGGCTACAGTCACAAATTCTATCCACTGCAAATGCTGAAATTGTACTACATGAGTTCTGCAGAAACGGGCATTTCCATATTCAGAACATTTCCTCTTTTACTTATTATTTATTCATTTACTTTTCAGTACTGGGTATTAAACCCGGACCTCATGCACGCGGGGCCAATGCCTACAGCTGAACTACATCGCCAGCCTATCTTACCTCTCCTACCATCGCCCCCAATCTCCTCCTTCCCCTGGTTTCACACTTTCGGGGGTGTTCAATGTGTGTGACCTATTTTGCTCATATCCATCCCTCATTACCTGCCCTTACACTCTGTATCTCTTGTCTTCCCTCCCTCTTCTATCCTCCTGCTTCTTTCTACTTTCTTGTTATATTTCTTAGATTCCACATATTAGGGAAAACAAGCAACATTTGCCTTTCTGTGTCTGGCTCACATTCAGGTAACATAGATTAACATGATAATCTCCAGAGCCATCCATTTTCTTATAAATGACAGAATTTTGTTTCTCTTTGTGGCTAAATAACTTTCCACCACATTTTATCTGCTCATCTGCTGATGGGCATTGCCTCAGTTCCTTTCCTTGTTGCTGAGACAGAATACCCTACACCAAGGTTAAAGGAGAAAACTTTTATTTAGCTCACAGTTGGTAGAGGTTTCAGTCCATAAGTGGTTGGCTCCAAGGCAGGTGGCATGGCGGAGGGGCACTGCAGAGGAGAAACGGTTCCTGGCATGGCAGTACAGGCAGAAGGCAGCAAGCAGCAACATTAGCAGTAGAAGCAGCAGCAGCTCTTGCTGTTTCTTTCTGTTCCTCTTATTCCAAGCTGCCCACTTGGGTGGTATCATCCACATCCAGGGTCGGCCTGCCCATTCTCTACACCCAAAACTATGCCAAACCAGCCAGTAGCCTCATTAATAATCACATACCCTTAACCCCAACGTCACCCACCCTAGACCAAGGAATCTCCAAAAGCCCCACCTTTTGACACCACGAGCTTTAGAGGGACATCCAGATACAAGCCATCACAGGCATCTAGGCTGCTTCCATGTTTTGGCTATTGTGAACTGTGCCACCATAAACATGAGCATTTAAATATCCCTATGGTATGCTGACTTATACTGCTTCAGGAGGCGATAAAACTGTTTTCAGTTTTTTGAGGAACCTCCATACTGCCTTCCACAGTAGCTGTACTAATTTACATTCCCAGCAGCAGTGTACGAGGGCTCCTGCTCTCTAACACACACCTTCACCAGCATTTATCATTTTTTGTATTCTTGATGATAGATATTCTGATTTGGGTGAGATAGAATCTCAATACAGTTTTGACTTGTGCTGTGATTCATATCTAGATGCTTCCCAAGTCTCATATACTCATAGGTAGAACAGGTAAATGGCTTATGGGCGTGCCGTAGCCAACTTGCTGTTGGGAGGTGAGATCTGGGCAGAAGAGGCAGGTGTGAGCTGAAGGGTTTTTCTCTTTCTCCCACTCCTCCCTTCATTCTCTCTGCTTCCCAGCTGCAATGAGATGAGCAGCTCCCCTCTGCTGTGCCCCTATGCCATACCAACCCATAGTGCACTTGCCAGTTATCAACTGAAACCTCTGCTCCTTTAAATTGTAAGGGTTGTGTATTTTGTAACAGCAATGAGAAAAATGACTAAGACAATTGGCACTTCTCTAATGGCTAAAGATATTAAGCATTTTTCATATACTTATTGGCTATCTATATTTCTTTTGAAAACCATCTATTCAATTAATTTTCCCATTTGTTGATTTGGTTATTTGATTTTGTGTGTGTGTGTAAGTTTCTTGAGTTTTTTTATATATTCCAGATACAGTGGTTCCTCAGTTCTCAAATGTTTCTGTTTGCAAACAATTCAGTTCATGAACAGAAGTGGTCAGCAAAATTTTGCTTCTGTGTAGGAACTCATCGGGTGATGTTGAACCTTCTGAGGAAATCTTATTCAGTTTGTGACCAATTAGATTCAAGACCAGAATCACAGAAAGAATTTAGTTCATGAATTGAGGTACAACTGTAGCTGGTAAAGATTGCCTGCCACTCTGTGGGCTCTCTTCACTCTGTTGGTTGTTTTCCTTGCTGTACAGAAACTTTTTAACGTGGTCTAGTATTTTCTTTTTGTACTGGGAATTGAATTCAACTTAGTGTTGTCTTCTCTGTTGATTCTTCTATTAATTCCTGGGTTTCTGGAGTCTTGGTCAGCGAGTCTTTGCCTATGCCTATGGCTTTAAGAGTTTCCCATATGTTTTCTTGTAGCAGTTTCCAAGTTTTACGTCTTAATACCCAGGTATTTGATTAATTTTGAATTGATTTTTATACAGAGTGAGTTAGGGATTTAGTTTTAGTTTGCTACCAGTGAATATCCAGTTTTCCCAGCACCATTTGTTAAAGAAACTGTTTTCTCCAGTGTATATTTTTGGTTCCTTTAAGACAAGATCTTACTAAGTTCCCCAGGCTAGCCTCAAACTCTTGATCCTTTTGCTTCAGCCTGCTGGGTAGCTAGAATTACAGGTATGTGCCATCATGCCAAGCTCAAGATGTTATTTTCTAACACAACAATGGGATATGAATAGCTTTAAAAAAAAAAATCCATGAGTTACATAACTGTGACTCATTTTGGAGAGGCGGTTTATATAACCAATAAAGGCTAGTGGGAGTTGGAGACCAATAAAAGCTTCTTTCCTAGTTCTGCCACTTGCTAGCTATGGAACTTGAACAAGTTAGTTTACTTTTCTGCTCTCTATGCCTCGGTTTCCTAATCCATAAAATGGGCCCTACTTTACAAGGTTATTTGTAGTGTTAAATGAGTTATCATATTTAAAGTGCCTACTCCATCACTATTTGGGAGGGATAGACAAAAAGTATGGGGCAAATACCTCCTAAGTTCAGCCTGAATCTTTTTTTTTAATTTTTTTTTGTCTTTTTCCTTTTTATTGGTACCGGGGATCAAACTCACAACTGCCTGCTTGCAAGACAGGCGCTTATGCCGCTGAGCTAAATCTCCAGCCCCTCAGCCTAAATCTTGATCCTCGCAGGCTTACCTGATTTACTCCAGCAGTGTGGCAGCTGGTGCCCAAAGTGGAATCGAAGAGTGCAAATATCAGTTTGCCTGGGACCGCTGGAACTGCCCTGAGAGAGCTCTGCAGCTGTCCAGCCATGGGGGACTTCGCAGTGGTAAGGACAGCATTGGTCAAACTCAGCAGGTGTCCTGAGCCCAGGCTGGAGCCCTGGAGATGGCACCTTTCCTCCCCTGCACCTCTCCTTCACCTCCCTTCTTCTCTCAGGACATCTCCCTCCTCTCAGGTCTTTTTTAACCTCCACTTTCCCACCTGTAGAGTGGTTTTCTTTCTACCCCGACACACTTACTGCTCAACAAATGGACCTGTCTCACCTTCAATCCCATTCCATCCCTGGCTGCCAATCAGCTGAAGTTTCCCAACAACAAAAGTAACCTCAGAAGGCAGATCAGGTCATAATTACTCATATCTTTTAGTCCCTTCTTTCAGCAGCTTTGCTAGGCCCGCAGGAATTTGGGCCAGGAAACCAGATTTTTATAGAGATGATAAACAGGGGTCATGCCAGCCAATGAAAGAGCTGCCCAGCACAGGTTCTTCACATATCAACTGAGTGTGCTTCCTAGACTGGTGTCCCAGGAGGGATGAAGATGAGTTCTTTGCAACTCAGCCTTCACATTCCTCTCCATCCCTCTCCCCCCAGGTTCTTTCCCAACTAAGTCCTTTATAATTATGTGTGTCAACCACAATATGGCCACCTAGTCATAAAATGTACGACCAGAAAAGAGAGGGAAGAAGTATAGAGCTGAAGCCAGGGATGGAACAGAGCCTGGAAGAGGGCAAGGACCAGGGATGGAGCTGGGAAAGGCACTGAAATCAGCTCGAGTTTCTTTGGGATGTGAGGCCTCCCTAACCCACCGGCTCTTTGGCTCCTGCCAGCTAACCGAGAGACCGCGTTTGTACACGCCATCAGCTCTGCTGGTGTCATGTACACTCTGACAAGGAACTGCAGCCTCGGAGACTTTGACAACTGTGGCTGTGATGACTCCCGGAACGGGCAACTGGGTGAGTGGCGCTGTTGGGAGAAGTAATCCAGCCAGGTAAACTCACTTCAAAGGGGACAAGCCCGGTGGGAAGTGGCTGGGGTAAAGCTGTCTCTTCTAACAGCGAGGTAGTGTGGGGCACTTTTGTGATCCCAGGACACAGGAGGCTGGGCAGAAGGTGGAGAGTTCAAGGTCAGCCTGGGGTACACAGCCACACCGTCCCATGATGAAAATCGTGCTGAGTGAACCAGTTTGAGCCTAAATCCTACACTGAAAACCCAGACTAACTATAGCGTGGGAAAGGCCCTTTTCTCCCACTGAGTGGTTTCTCTCAACACAGTAACACCCGACGATAGCTCCAGGAACAACGCGCCCATAGCCCGCCCTCATCTGCCCTCCCCCACTGGGGAGTTCCCTGCACCTCTGCCTCCCACCCACACCTCCCAGCAGGCTGCGGCCCCAGGCCACCAACTCAGTTTTCAGCCTCCTCCCCGCCTGCCTGCTGAGCCAAGGATCTCCAGGATTGAGAGGAACTACCCCCCCCCCCACACACACACACACGCAGGGCCACCCCATCTTGGGCCTCCCCGGCCCACCTGCTCCTGCCGGGATCAGCGCCCCAGCCGGGGCTCGGCTGAGCCACGTTTCCACTTTTTTAGGGGGCCAAGGCTGGCTGTGGGGAGGCTGCAGCGACAACGTGGGCTTCGGAGAGGCAATTTCCAAACAGTTCGTGGACGCGCTGGAGACCGGGCAGGATGCGCGCGCCGCCATGAACCTGCACAACAACGAGGCAGGCCGAAAGGTGAGCTGCGCCATCCTCCCGGGGCTCATTGCCCACGCCCCCTGCTCACTCCACTCTCTCCTCAGGCGGTCAAGGGCACCATGAAGCGCACGTGCAAGTGCCACGGCGTGTCTGGCAGCTGCACCACGCAGACCTGCTGGCTGCAGCTGCCTGAGTTCCGCGAGGTGGGCGCGCACCTGAAAGAGAAATACCACGCGGCACTCAAAGTGGACCTGCTGCAGGGTGCGGGCAACAGCGCGGCGGGGAGGGGCGCCATCGCCGACACCTTCCGCGCCATCTCCACGCGCGAGCTGGTGCACCTGGAAGACTCCCCCGACTACTGCCTGGAAAACAAGACGCTTGGCCTGCTGGGCACGGAGGGCCGCGAGTGCCTGCGGCGTGGCCGCGCGCTGGGTCGTTGGGAGCGCCGCAGCTGCCGCCGGCTGTGCGGGGACTGTGGGCTGGGGGTGGAGGAGCGCCGCGCCGAGACGGTGACTAGCTGCAACTGCAAGTTCCACTGGTGCTGCGCAGTCCGCTGCGAGCAGTGCCGCCGCCGGGTCACAAAGTTCTTCTGCAGCCGCGCGGAGCGGCCGCGGGGAAGCGCGGCGCCCAGGCAGGGGCCGAAGCCCTGAAGGTCTCTTGCCTGCCTCCTTTCCCCTTTTGTTCTGGGTCCGTTAAAGATTCCAGTAACAGGGGAACCGCGGGATGGGGACCTGCACTAAGCCCCGAGATCCTGAGGGAAAGTGCCACTTGCCAGGGGGCTCCCCAATTCCTATGCGCCCTCTTCCCTGGGCTGAGTCTGCTGCGTCCTTACAGCCCACAAGCAGGTCCGAGAACTGTGCTAAGATAACCGTGGTACACTGATCTTCCTTGGGCCACGACCTCCCTAATGTCCTCCGCCTGAGCTCACCTGTCAAGCCCGCGGAGAGGAGGGCACCCTTCTGGGACTCGCAGGCACTGGTGCAGCCATGGCATTGCTCCTTGCCTGCCGTCTGCCCCAAGCCTGCGCACTCACTGCCTCTGCTCCTCCAGAGCCAGAACCCTTGCTGCTGAGTCCCAGCTGCTGCCAGACTCCACAGGAATGCCTAACTTTCCCTCCTTCACTCCTACACAAAAACCATGAGGAAACGGACCTGGGTGTGGAGCTGGCTCCAAGCCCTGCTCCTGGGCCCCCTTCCCTGAGAGACTTCCCCAGTGGGCAGTGACTGCCTGAATCACCCAACCAAGCGGTCCAGAGACTTGTAAGGTCAGGGGACCAGGCATTTCCTACCCTTCCAAATCAGCATTCCCTGCTCCAGGCCTGCTTCCCCCTAGCAACCAATCTACCTTTTTTCCTTCCCCAATGGAGCCAACATAGAGATAAATAAACCTGAGTTCCCTTTTGGACCCTGGTTTGCACCAATGAAGGCAGGCCGCATGAGGGACAAGCTGGTTCTCAGTAGGCACTGGACACTTTCCTTCATCAAGGAAACTTCCTGCCCTTAAGCTGATGCACCTTGTCATTTACTGAAGTCACTGGTATGTGCCACCCTCCCACCACAGGTACTGAACTTACTATACAGGACAGGGGAGTAGGATAGGGTGAAAGGTACAACCTCTAGGCTCTCTCCTCCCTTCTCCTCGGCAGGATGGCAGGATGCCTACTTCCCTGATGGCCTATGCCAGTTAGCCTGACTTGACTGAGGCTGATCTGCCAAGGAGTAGTGAACCGTGCACATCATCATCCCTTGATAGATTCCCTCTCATTCAGGAGCTAGAGTCTTCCAGTTCCTTTCTCAGAAGGAGGCAGTTCAGCAGAGACCTGTTTATGGAGCAGGGCTCCAGGGAAGAGAGCATCACATCCTGCATCCCAAGCCCCTTCCTGCCTGCTCCCCTGCCAAGAAGCCAGCCATCCTGGCCTCCAGGCAGCTCTTGTACAGATCTGGCCTGTGCTCTCTTCTCCCAGGGTAGGAGAAAGTGCAGAGGCCACAAAAGCCATGCTCTGGGGGCCGACCAGGATGAGAAGGGCTCCCACACTGAGCCAGTGCTCAAGCCAGACCTCAGGCCCCCGGCTCCCAACCTCCACAAATTCTGGTCCTGCCAACACTTGCTCAGAGAGGCTCCCCTCCTTACCACGGGTGCCCTTCTCCTCAGGCTCCCTCAGTGCTGTTTCCAGCTTTATTAGCAGAAGGTCTTTCTTCATTCCTTCAGCTCTTACTGGGCCTCTTAAGCCACTTCTTCCCTGATCAAGCTGCAGCTTCACCAAGCTGTCCCATCTGCCAGGGTTAACTTGATAGTGTGCATGAAGAAAATGTGGTAAGGAGGCTAGAAAATATAAAAGTGCACTGTGGCAAGCAAAACTGAATCTTTGCATAAAAGTGGACTTACGCTCCACATTTCCAGGTCAGCACTCTAGATCTGTCATGCTGCCGGAAAACTCTCACTGTACCCCCACGGAGGATGAATGCCAGACCCAGCTGAGCCCCACAAAGAAGAAGTCACAGAACTACCTTAGAACTGTAGTGCACCCCGCTTTATTCATTGTCTGCTCAGGCACACTGAGTGAAGACCCAGGGAAAAACACACCTGTCCCTTGCACTGTGGGTCCTTTCTCTCACACAGCTGTGTCCCTTGCACTGTGGGTCCTTTCTCACACATAGCTGTGTCCCCCTTCAGTAACATGGCCAACCCCAGAACTGTGGGAAGAGACCTTGGAAATCTGGCCATCATATCAAGTGTCTCACAGGTTTAGACTCAGCAAGGGACCTGGCCCCACCCTCCTCCCAGGTGTCTCTGGGAGCCCATCTGTCTCTGCTTTGGGGCGGAAGCAGAGGGAGGTTCTGAGAAGTGACAAGAACACGGGCTAAGGTAGGCAGAGCACTGTCTCCTCCCTCCCCGGCCTGTGAGCCTGCATGCGGGTGGAGCTCATTCTTGTGAAAAGAACCCCCACCTTAACTGGCCTTTGCGTGGTCAGGGCAAAGACAGACAGGTCGGCCTCAGCACGCTGGTGGTGCTGCTGGTGGTGAGGGGAGGGCAAGCTAGGGCACTTGCCTATTGTGGGTCTGGATTGGATGCTTCCACTCATTCATTTCCTTTTAATTAACCCACATTCCTGGAGGAGAAATATTTATGTTGGCTCCCATAGAGCCAATCCTCAGACTGGAAAGAAGGGAAAAGAAAGCCTGTCTTAGCAAAACAATATCTCTAAAGAGCTCAAGGAAAGAAAATAGGGGAACAAAACGCCATTAAAACAGCCTTCTACCCCTGCTGGAGTCAATGAAAACTTCATTTCACATGTTAATCCGCCGCTCCGCCCCTTCTCTTCTCACAACACCACTTCGGAAAGTGTTTGGGAAAAGTCTTCCCAGTTAGCAAGCAGCTCCCTGCAGCTCAGACTTCTCCTTGTGTTAGTTCAGGGCCCCAAGCGGAGCTCTAGCTCCAGCAGCGGCTTTTTTCTCCCCCACCCTTTAATTTAAACAAAGACCTCAGAGTTCATCAACCTCCCACTGAAATTCACAGCTGCTGAACAAACTAATCCCCTCTCCCAGCCTTTCTTCCCTTCAATGGGCTCTTGGCTTCAAAGACACTTTGGGAAAGGACTTTGCAGGGGCTCACACTGCTTCATCAATAGAAGTTAGTGCAAGTATTATCTGAAGAGCAAGTGGCTTTACAAACAAATACTGCCTAACAATCCTTCCCTCCCAAACACAGGCATCCAGCCTGCAGACATGATGGGATCCACAACAGGATTAGGCCCGGTACCCCCTGGCGTCACACCCAGTGCTTTTGTGCAGCTCAGCCCTGAAGTGGTATGGAGAAAACTCTGAAGCTAACATCAGGCACAGGTGGACACAGGGACACATACCCAAGCATGCACCCATGGCATCGCGGCAGGCAAGTCCAGCAGTGGACTGAAAAAGTTCCCTATTTCAACGCTACTGACCTTTTATCTCTCCCCAGCCCTTCCCCTCCACCCCAACTTACTGGGTGTGGGGAGCAGAAACAGAGACTCTGAAAGCCAGGTATTGACAAAATCAGCCCTAGAGGAGGCCGCCAGTGGGAGACGACAAACAGACCAAACCACAGCAGATTTATTGTACTGTTAAATACATGGGTGCCTCAAACAGAGAGCTCACAGAGAAAGCAGTCCTGAGTGTGGCAGGCAAGGGGGAAGAAGGCCCAATCCATGAGAAGCAGTGCTGAAAGTCAGCCGTCAAACGTGGCACCTGTCTGGTGGGGCTTTTCACCACAGAACCATCAGCCCAGGCCTTGGGAGTCAAGCGCCCTTCCCAGGAGGCTGGCGTCCCTCTGCTGCCATCTTCTAAACTAACAGCTCCTAGCAAAAGGCAGTTCTCCCCTTTCAGCTGTCCTCTCCCCTAGACCCCTTTCGTAATACTGGTGCATGAGAAGTTCCATTTAAAAGGGACCAGAGTTTCCTCTGGTTCTGCCCAACTCCAATCCCTTACATCAAGGCTTGTTCATAGGGTGAAAAGCACCAACTCTAGCAGCCCTCAGGGCTACAGAAGAATATAGGTCTAAAAATATAAGGTCAGAGGCAGGGTGAAGGTAAGGTTAGACTCATAAATCCTGGAAGGGAAAAACAAGACCTGTGAGATGGGTCACAGCAGAGGTAGATTTGGAAGCAAAGACTCAGAGCCACTTGAATGGAGTATGCTTGGGGTGGGGGAACAAGGAAAGTAAGGCCTGGCTCTCCGCCCTGTCCCAGGACAGGGACCAGGCCTCCTTGGATGGACCCTACCTAGGTCCCAGGCACAAGAGGGTGGAAAGCAGGCCCTCAGTTGGCTGGCACTGGCCCTACAACCCCACAAGTTGGGCCACAGGGGAAGGAGCTGGGAAATAAACTCCATCTGGAGGAAGCAGAGGTGGCCTCTGGCACGAGGTTGCCTGGCTCAGCCTTGTAGTTTATGCGCGATGGTGAGGACAGCTTTCAGGATGGGCATGAAGCTGGATACTTCGCTGAAGCTGCTGCAGCCCACCACCTGGGCGTGGACCTCCAGGCTCTGCGCGAAACTTCCCACATCCACACACCGGGCAACTTCGTGGAGCCCCGCCACAACATGCGGCGAGAGCTGTAGAGGAACCGAGCCCAGGGTAGTGAGCTGCCCAGCCCCACCCTGGCAGTATGGGGTGCACAAGACAGCACTCAAGGCTGGTGCACAATTGTGCCTGTGGACAGGAGAAGGCCACAGTGGAGAGGGAGAGGACAGGGCAGGCACACTCAGGACATACCGTCCCCTCACGTAGCTTCTGGTAGAGACCTTCCAGGCGCTGGGCCGCCTCATCCAGCTTCCTTTTGGTCTTCTGCAGAGAGAGAAACAGATCCTGACCCAGCCCCTATGCAGGGGTTGAAAGCCAGCAAGGCTCAATGCTGCCTCCCTCCTTTCACAAACAGGAGAGGAAACCCAGGGAGGTACTGGCTCCTAAGCAAAGGAACAGCAGCATTCAGTTCATCCTGCAGACCAACACTTCTTCCTGTGCCCCCCACTACCCATAGGTCTCCATGCTGTTGGCTCCTGTTATGCAGGACTCAGAACTCAGAACCCACTCCAGCTGCCTCCCTACTCTCTACGGACACCACAGAGGATGAGCTTCAGTCAGCATCTCCAGGAACAGGGAGAGGACTGGTCTATCTCAAGGCACCCCAGAGTCATCTGAAGGTGTGAGGAGGGCACTGCAGAAGGTCCATGCTTACCAAATCAGCTGCAGACAGGGAGCAGCGCTGAAGAAGTGCCTTGAAGCTGGCTTTCAAGGACTGATGCTCTGGAGGCAGCTCCTTCCTTTCCATCCTTGTAGGAGGCAGGTGCTGAGGCTGTTATTGCAGGGAGGGACAGGGAGAAAAGACAGGTAGCCAAGCTGTCATTCTCAGGCTTCCCTGAGGCCCAGTCCCCAGTAACTCAGGCCATCATGTTCCCACCCGCGCAGGGCAGAGCTGGCATCAGAGCCCTTCTCCTTCTCTGCAGTAATGATGCCTTCATCTCAGAGATGAATCTACTTTAAAGAATAAGGCCCAGCTCCGGGATCCCCTCTCTGCCACACCTAAGGAGGGCCAAAATTTTTCCCCAGGAAGAGAAACACACTGTCACTGTCACTTGCAAGCTGAGTTCCTTGGAGCTCGGGGACAGGGGGTGTGACTCACACTGGAGATGGGGAGCTGTGCTGGAAGGAAGTGGGGTGGCTCAGGGCTGAAGTTCCTAACTGGAGCAGTGATTGGTGCAGGAGGCATAAATGTATCTGGCAGCTGAAGAGAGAATGAAAAATACAGGAGACTAGGCTGAGAGACTGCAAAGGTCCTGGTTTTGGACAACTGTGACAAGAGGGAGGTCACCCCAAGAACAGAAAAGGGGGAGATGGGGGCTGGGGATTTAGCTCAGCGGCATAAGCGCCTGCCTTGCAAGCAGGCAGTCGTGAGTTCGATCCCTGGTACCGATAAAAAGAAAAAAGACAAAAAAAAAAAAAGAAAGAAAAGGGGGAGATGAATTCTGTATGGAACCAGAAAGTGGATCACTGGTAGATGTGTGAAGAAACACGCACTGACCTTTTTACTCTGAAAGCGTCCCCTGGGGGCTGAGGAATCTTTCCAGGAATCCTGAGGTTCTGTAAAATAAAGAATAAGGGGGGCTGGGGAATTAGCTTAATGGCATAAGCACCTGCCTTACAAGCAGGCGGTTGTGAGTTCGATCCCCGGTACCAATAAAAAAGAAAAATAATAAAGAATAAGGATTTTTAGGGGTATGGTCAGGAACACTGGAAAGTTGTGGTTTGGAGACTTAGCAGAGACCCCACAGGTCCAGCAGCATTCTCCAGACCACAGGCCCCCAGGTCCCTGGCTTGAGAAGGAGGACTCCCTGGATGGTGCAGGAGAGGAAAGGAAAGGGAGAGAATGACCCACACAGGGAAGCAGGACAGGGAGACTGACCTGGGGGAGGCGGGACACCAGCATGTCGGAGGGCAGCAGAACACAGAGACCCTGGCCTTCCAGGAGGGTGCAGCAATGGGGAGCCAGCAGGAGGGGCTGGGAGTACAGGAGCCAGAGGGAGCAGTCGCGGTGTATCAGACAGAAAGGCAGAGCCAGGCAGAATCACGTCTGGGGGTGTCACTGGTAGAGGGGGACCAGGAAGTGACCATGTTCTAGGAAACCCCACAGGCTTTGAAACTTGAGGCCTTTGCCCTCCTGACAGTTGCAGCTGAGATAAAGCTAAAGCAGAACACAAACAGGTCATTTGCCACCAAATTTCAATTTGGGAGATATTCAGGGCACAGGAGGAATAGGTCAGCAATAACAAAAGAAGCCAAATATGGTGACATGGTGACACATGCGTGTAGAACCAGCCCCTTGAGCCTGAGATCAAGGACAACCTAGGCACCACAGCAAGATCCAGCCTCAAAAAAAAAAAAAAAAAAAAAAAAAAGTCAAGCCAGGCACAGTAGTGCATGCTTGTTACTCCCAGCATCTAGAGGCTGAGGTGGGAGGATTACTCTGAGTTCAAGGGCAGCCTGAGCTGCATAGTGAGTTCAAGGCCAGTCTGAACTACACAGCCAAGACCCTATCTCAAAACAAATGAAGAAACAAACAAAAACTTCAAGCCAGACACCTAAAACCCTGGCATTCAGGAGGCTGAGACGGGAGAATTATGAGTTCAAAGCCAGTCTGAAGTACATAGAAAGACCCCCTATCTTGAAACCTCCCACTTAAAAAAAAAAGAGAGAGAGAGAAAACAAAAACAAAACACTAAAACTGATAATAATAATTAACACATGTATATGGAGATCTACAATTTAATAAGCACTTTTAACTACATATATTATTTGACCCCTCAAGATAATACTATAGGATTGAAATGATATACTTATGTTGGTGTATTGCCAGAAAGCACGAAGGCTTTTACCTAGGAAACAGTATTAGAAATTTAGTGCAAAATAGTATTAGGAATCCAGACCTCAACTTCTCTCAAACATTTTTTTCTTTTATTTTTAATTAAAAAACAAAACCCAAAAATGAAAAAACAAACATCAAAACCCTAAGTTCTCTTTGGTATGAGCAGCACAGGTGGAGGAGCCAGAGCTCCAAGCACTCTTAGGAAACACCTTCTAAAATTTTTTTTGTTTTTATCTTTTTGAGACGGGGTCTCTCTATGCAGTTCAGGCTGGCCTTGAGCTCACTTTGTAGCCTAGGCTGGTCTCAAACTCGCAATGATCCTCCTGCCTCAGCTTCCCAAGTGCTGGGATTATAGGTGTGAGCCACAACACCTGGCTAAAACACATTTTTATGTCAGTTGTGAGTGCTTGTGTGCGTTTGTGCATGTGTGTGTGTGTACACGCACATTGCTAGAAACGGAACCCAGGGCCTCAAACATGGCAGGCAAGTGCACTACCATTGAACTTTCAGCCCTCAACCTTTCAAGCTACTAGATGAGAGGAAGACAAGTCTTCCTTAAACCTCTGACTTCTGTGCTTTCAGCAGTCTATGGTGACTTGGGGGGTCAACGATAGCCTTCTTGAGATTTTTACCTTAATAACTTTTATGCCTGGATTCCATATCCATAGATTGAACCAAGCATGGAAAATAAGCAGAAAAAAATTGTGCTGACCAAATATGCTTTTCTTGTCATTTTCCTCAAACAATTCAGGATAACAACTAATACAGCATTTATTGTTTTAGGCATGGTCAGTAATCTAGAAATGACTTAAAGCACACAGAAAGCCATTCACTAGGCCTTGCCCTAGGGCCCGCCGTACCACCAACAGTCTGGTAGGGTGCCGAGGGCATCAGGGATGACTGAGGTATGGCCCATGGTCTTAGAAATGGAGCTAGAATCTGTGAAGAGAAAAAAAGTCATCACTTAGAAAGAGAAGAAAGGAACTGAAATCAAAAAACAGCATAAAAAATTAGTGAAACAGAAAATAGTTCTTTAGAAAAAATCAGTAAAATCAGTGTATCACCATTCAGACTGATAAAGATAGAAAGATCCAGCCAGACATGGTGGTACACACCTATGCTTGCAGCTACTCTGGCTGAGGCAAGAGGGTTCCAAATGCAAGGCCAGCCCAGTCAATGTAGCACAATCCTTTCTAGAAAGAAAGAAAGAAAGAAAGAAAGAAAGAAAGAAAGAAAGGAAGAAAGAAAGAAAGAAAGAAAGAAAGAGAAAGGGCTGGGGTTACAGCTCCGCTCTCAGTATCAAAGGGAAGAAGAAAAAATGGAAAGATAAAAGATACAAAGATGAAATAGGGAATCTTACAACAGATCCAGAAGTCATTAAAAGGATGATAAAGAAATATTCAGATTACATTCAATTCATAAACTTGACAACTCAGAAGAAATGAACCAACTCCTCAGGAAAAACATACCACCACAACTCAGCCAAAATGAAAGATAAGCTGAGTTGTCCTATAATTATTAAAGAAATTGAATTTGTAATTTAAAAATTTACCCCTCCCCCAGAAAGCATCTTTGGCCTTGCTGGTTTCATATTCAAAGAATTAATACAAAGTTGATACAATCTTTTCCAGGACATGTCCTAACTCATTTTATGAAGCCACTACAGGTATTACTGATACCAAAACCAGACACTATGCAATAACAGAAACTTAGGAGGCTAAAGTGGAAGGATAGTGGATTTGATGATAGCCTGGACAACACAGACTTTGTTTTTCAAAAAATTAAGAGCTTTGGAATGGGGATTTAACTCATTGTAGAGTGCTTGCCTAGCAAAAGGCCCTATGTTTGATTCCTAACACCATCAAAAAAAAAAAAAAAAAGCCAAAAACAGCAAAACACTACAAATCAATACTCTCATAAACTTAGATACAAAATTCCTTAATAAAATTTTAGCAAAACAAATCCAACAATGCATATAAAATATATTCGACAACCAGGTTGGATTTATTCCGGATTATATAAGGCTGATCTAATATATTTAAAATCAGTGAATGAGGCATGATAGCATACACCTATAATTCCAGCACTCAGGAGGCTGAAGCTGGAGGATTGCCATGAATTCAAGGCCAGCCTGAGCTGCATAGCAAGATGCTATCTCAAAAAAATCTATATATGTATATGTGTGTGTGTGTGTATATATATATATATATATATATATATATATATATATCATATCAACAAACTGAATAAGAAAAATCATATAACTACACAAAATACGCAGAAAAAAAACCTGACAAAATACAACACTCACTCATGAACCAGTTCAGCAGGTGCTATGTGTGAACATTTCTCCCATAACGCACGTGTAGGGACCCTAATTCCCCATGGAACAGGGGTGACGGCAGGGTAATGGAGGACACCCTGCACCAAACGCTGTCAGGAGGGAGACTCTTTCTTGCTTGTCCACTCTGCTGCAGGAGGCCCATCCCCTGGGCTTCAGCAAGCACCAACACGGAGCCTGTGGCTGCCGACTCTTGCACTCGGCTGCTCCTGCTCTTTGTCATCCCTCCGGTCAGCAGTGCTTCTGCTGTAGCAGCGTCCCTCAGCCTCGCAGAGAGCATCCACCAAAAACCTACACCTAGGAGCACACTCAGTGGTGAAGCACTGAATGTTTTCTCTCTGCGACTGGAAGTGAGGTGATTATTTAACCTAATGCTGGAAGTCCTAATCACTACAGTAAGGCAAGAAAGAAATGGAAGGCATACAATTTGGAAAGAAAGAAAGAAACAGTCCCCAGTTTTCCCTCTATGAGAAGGTGCCTGCATAGAAAATTGCAAAGAATCTACACTCCTAGAACTAGTGAGTTAAAGAAAGTTACAGGATACATGACCAACACAGGAAAATCAACTGCATTTCCATTCACTGACTATGAACAATAGAAACCAAAACAAAAGGTGTAATACTTGATTTCAAGTTGAAAACAATGAGGGGAAAAACCCTAGACCTAAACTTATGTCAAAAAATAACTACAAAATGAAACATGTCCTTAATATGTAAAGCACAAAATTATAAAATTTCTATAAGGAATATAGGAGAAAACTTAGAAGACGTGGGACTAAGCAAAGACTTGATATCTAAAGCACCATATGTGAGAAATTTTATAAACCAAATCTCACAAAATTAAAAAACCTTTTCCTTTGGTAAAAATATGAAAAGACAAGCCAGGTATGGTAATCACAACACTTGGGATGCTGAGGCAGGAGGATCACCTGGGGTACATCTTAAGTTCAAGGCCAGCTTGAATTGCATAGTGAAATCTTGTCTCAAAACCCCAAAAAGAAAAAAAAAAGGGCAACACAAATTACCATCTGGGATAAAATATCTCGAAATCACACAAAAGACTTGTATCTAGAAAATATAAAGAATTCTCAAAACTCAACACTAAAAAACACAAAAAATCCAACTAGAAATTGGGTAAAAGACATTACAGTCTTTTCACAGAAGAAGATACAAAAGTATAGACAGCAAAAACATGAAAAAATGTTCCACAATGTTAGCCATTAGAGAAATTAAAATTAAAATCTCACTGAGCTATCATACATGTATCAGAATAGCTAAAGTGAAGGGCTGGGGATTTAGCTCAGCGGCAAAAGCACCTGCCTGGCAAATGCAAGGTTGTGAGTTCGATCCGCAGTACCAAAAAGATAAAAAGAGAAAAGCTAAGGTGATAACCAGTGATAACAAATGCTGATGAGCATGTGGGAGAACTGAAATGTAAAATGGTGCAGCCACACTGGAAAATAGTTCAGCCGGCTGTTACTTTCAAAACTAAAAGTGAACCTGTAATATAACTCAGCAATTGTATTCTCATATTTACTCCTAGGCATTTATCCCAGTGAAGTGGTGACTTTTTTTCCCTTAAGAAATTGTACTCAAATGCTCAAAGCAGCATTATTCATAAGAGCCCAAAACTAGGAACTACTCAAATGCTCTTCTAAGGGTGAATGACAAAAATAAAAAAAGCTTTGCTAAATGCATAACCCAGACTCAATAATGAAAAAAAACTAGTGGAACATGCAAATGGTTCAGGCTGAAAGATTGAATGCTAAGTGAGAAAAGCTAATCTGAAAGGTTATATATTCATAATTCCATTTATGGGACACTACTGAGATAATTATAAAGCTGAAGAAGGTGAGGGATATAGCTTAGCCGCACAGTGCCTGCCAGGCAAGTGTGAGGTTGTGAGTTCAACTGCTGGTACCAAAAAAAAAAAAAAAATTTCTTTTAGGTATAAAAGAGAGTCCTGTGTTGGTATTTTTGCTGTGATGGGGTTACATAAGACTACAGGTATGACAAAACTACATGATTCTAGACACACAAATGAATACATGAAAAACTGGTCATGTCTCAATCTATGGATTATAGTAGGGGTCTCCAGTCATTATAGAAATTGTCTCCAGGTCTGCTAGGAACCAGGCTGCACAGCACAAGGTTAGCAGAGGGCAAAAGTGAGCAAAGCCTCATCTATATTTACAGGTGCTCCCTACCCATCATTCTCACCTGAGCTCTGCCTCCTGGAGATCAGTGGTGACATTAGATTCTCCTGGGAGATGCATCCTGCTAGGAGCTGCACATGTGACAAATCTGGATTTCAAGCTCCTCATGAGAATCTTTTTTTTTTTTTTTTTTTTTTTTTTTTTTTTTTGTCTTTTTCATTTTTATCGGTACCGGGGATCTAATGCCTGAGGTGGAGCTGAGGCAATGATGCCAGCTTCGGGGAGTAGCTGAAAATGCAGATTAACAGGAGCAGATTGGTTTGAACAGAGACCATAACAAATCAATGGCTTGCACAAACTCATATCAAAACCCCACCAGTAGCCAGGCACAGTGACACAGACCTGTAATCCTAGCACTCAAGTTCAGGCAAGAGGATCATCATGAATTGGAGGGCAGTCTCGGATACATAGTGAGTTCAAAGCCACCCTGAACTACATACTGAGATGCTGTGTTAAAACACACACACACACACACACACACACACACACACACACACAACTTTTATCAGTGAGTAGCAAGTGACAAGCTGATCTGGTGGCAGGCTTTATAGTCACAAGTGACCTGACGTAGCCAATTGTACAGCTTTAAGTCAGAATCTGACACTTATTTTACTCTGCATGTGGCCTGCCATGATCTTTTTTTTTTTTAAGGAGAAAAAGAAAAAAAAAACAGAAAAAGGGTACAAGTTATACAGAATTTCAGAAAAAATAAACAGTAGGAAATCACTAGTTAACAGATTACATATTGTCATCTTAGAAATCGTTGTTCAAGTTACAAAATTAAAGCACATAAAGTGGACTTTCAAACAGTAAGACTACAAATACTTCTGTTCAATGATCCAACAAAACTCAGTAATATGATTATCTATCTTATACACTTAAATATACATGCAGTTATATCCTTTAGAGCACTTTCTTTTCCTCTCTTTTGTACAATGACAATTACACATTTTGGGTTTTATTACTCCCATTGTTCTTATTACTTTTTTTTTTTTGAAGAGAGTAAAACCAAATGTGACACAGCAGAACAGAGTCAGTCAAATCAAAAGGATGGACATAATACATAATGTAAAACAAAATACAAGGTGATCAACAATGGTTACCATACTGCCTCTTGCTATCTTAAAAAGAATTGCCTATATCATCAGTTATAATAAAATTGAACAAAACAGTAAAGAATAAGACCAATAAAACCAAAACATTGGAGACACTAGAGGACTTCAAAAGAAGATAATAGTCAACCAGAATGGGCGTCATAATGAATCTTATTGTCTTAATAGTTGTTGCCTATACTTTCGAACTCGGTACTGTCAAGCATAATAAAACAGAGGAAAATCAGTCAAAACAAGATGGTGAGAGCAATACAGTATTTCAAATCAAGTT